TCAGTCACCTGTTTAACCAGTCCCTTATTTAGTCAGTGAGTCAGTCACCTGTTTAACCAGTCCCTTATTTAGTCAGTCAGTCACCTGTTTAACCAGTCCCTTTTTTAGTCAGTCACCTGTTTAACCAGTCCCTTATTTAGTCAGTGAGTCAGTCACCTGTTTAACCAGTCCCTTTTTAGTCAGTGAGTCAGTCACCTGTTTAACCAGTCCCTTTTTTAGTCAGTGAGTCAGTCACCTGTTTAACCAGTCCCTTTTTAGTCAGTGAGTCAGTCACCTGTTTAACCAGTCCCTTTTTTAGTCAGTGAGTCAGTCACCTGTTTAACCAGTCCCTTTTTTTCAGTGAGTTCAGTCACCTGTTTAACCAGTCCCTTATTTAGTCAGTGAGTCAGTCACCTGTTTAACCAGTCTCTCATTTAGTCAGTGAGTCAGTCTGTTTAACCAGTCCCTTATTTAGTCAGTCATCTGTTTCAGTAGTCAGTCACATATATAGTCACCAGGTCCCGCCTGTCAATCGCCCAGTCAGTCCATCAGTCACGGACTCATCCACCCTGCTCACTTACCTCGGCCGCCCTCAGCAGGTGGAATGGATGCGTGGGCGTGGATGTGGGCGTGGACGGCGGTGGGAGGGAAGGTATTGATTCGTCCCTCCTTGCTCCGCCCCCTCACGCCCTGCACCGCCCCCCTCACGCCCTGCACCGCCCCCCACGCCCACGAAAAGTTCCCGAGGACGCCCACATATACGCACGCCTTCTGCACACAGCCCGCGTCCTTATTTTTTTGCTAGCGCCTTATCCGTGTCAAGGGCGTGGGGAGTTGTAGGGGAAGGGGGGAGGGGGTTATCGAGTGTTATGTGGGTGGCTTTTGTTTAATTATTTATTTATTTGTTTAGTTATTTATTAATTTATTTATTTTAGCGTATTGCTTCTTTATATGGCGGTGAATAATTTATATGATATGTGTATATGTATGTATGTGCGTGAGTGAGTGAGTGTGTGTGTGTGTGTGTGTGTGTGTGTGTGTGTGTGTGTGTGTGTGTGTGTGTGTGTGTGTGTGTGTGTGTGTGTGTGTGTGTGTGTGTGTGTGTGTGTGTGTGTGTGAGTGTGTGAGAGGAGAGTGTGAGTGTGTGTGTGAGTGTGTGAGTGTGTGAGAGAGAGAGTGTGAGTGTGTGTGTGAGTGTGTGAGTGTGAGTGTGTGTGAGTGTGTGCGCGTGTGCGTGTGTGTGCGTTGCGTGTGCGTGTGAGTAAGTGTGTGTGTGTGTGTTATGTGTATGTGTATGTAGAGTCTGTGAGCGAGAGAGAGAGAGAGCGAGAGATTTGCCATTGCCTTGAAATTGATCGGCTATTTTTCACTCCATTAGGCCCATCCCATTACCCCATTCCTCTCTTGATGGACACACGCAGTTGGTGGATTGATAAGAACTCGAGGGAAAAATGGAAGAAAAAATGTAAAAGGTAAAATAAAGGAAAATAAGAAATACACATAGGACTAGATAAGCAATTCGAAGGAAAAATAGGAAAAGATGTAAAAGGAAAAAGAAAGAAAGACATAGATCTAGATAAGTAATTCGAAGGAAAAACGGGAAAAAATGAAAGGTAAAATAAAGGTTAAAAAGGAAAAGAGAAGGAAAAAATAGCCTTTGATAAGTAATTCGAATGAAAAATAGTAAAAGAGGAAAAAAGAAAAAGAAAGTCATAGGCCTAGACAAGTAATTGAGGAAAAAATGGAAAAATAAAGCAAACCGGTAAAATAATGATTGAAGAAGGAGAAAAAAAAACATAGGCCTAGATTAGTACTTCGAAGGAAAAATAGAAAAATGAAAAATGAATGATTTATTTTCAACTTTTTTTAAAAAGTAAAAAAAAAAAAAAAAAAAAAAAAAAAAAAAAATAGAAAAAAGAAAAAGAAAGAATAAAAACATGGAAAATAAATCAAAGTTGAAAAAGAAAAAGAAGAAGAAGAAAGAATAAAAACATGGAAAATAAATCAAAGGAAGGAAAAAAAACAGAAGAAAAAAGAGCAAAGAACAGAAAGAAACGAAGTCCGAGTAATAACCAAAATGTGCCTCGGCCTAAAGAGACGCGGCGGCGGGCGGGGAGCAGGCAAGTGTCCCCCGCGTGATGTTCATTTCCTGTTCATATTTCGTGTAAGTGGGCGTGGGCGTCGGCGTTCGGTTTACGTCGTGGGCGCTCTGGGGTTGGGAAGTTTGGTGGATGTGCTTTTTTCATTTTGTTTTATTTTTTATTATTTTTTTTTTCGTGGAGTTATGGTGTTTTTTTTTATGGAGTCTGTCGTGTTTTTTTTTTTTGTCCTTCCCTTTCATTTTTGTTACTACCACCATCACATCATCACCAACATCGTCATCACCATCATCAATCATCACATCGTCATCACCATCATCACTATCATCATGATCACCACCATCACCATATTCATGATCATCACCACTATCACTATCTTTATCATCACCACCATCATCATTATCCTTATCATTATCATCACCATCATCATTTATATCTGGCGAAGATATATTTGAAACCGGTCAAATTCATCTCTTGTACTGTGGAGTTATTCATTCTCATTCGTACCTTTTTTTTAATTTGCCAGCATGAATACGATTCATTATCAACACCATCGTCATCATCATCATCATCATCACCATTGCCAGTGTCATCATCTCACCATCAAAATCATCATCACCATCACCATCGTCATCAAAACTCACTTTATACATTTTGCCTTCGCATTTTTTTTCCATCTCTCCCCGCATAGTTCGAGCGAAAGTAATTTCCCACAAAACAAAAGAAAAGAGCGAAAAAAAACAATAACAAAACAACAGCATTCCATTTCTCATTGAAACATTTATTGTATTGTTATTTATATTTCACACTGAACTTTGAACTTTTCTGCAGTTTAGGTTACATTCAGATATTTCTTTTCGGTCAAAGGTCATCTTGGCGGTGGTGGTAATGATGGTATTGCTAGTTTGAGTGGTTCTGGTGGTTATTGTCGTTAGGGTTATAATAGGTGTAGTGTTGATGATGGTGATCATTATATTGATGATGGCTTGTAATGGGGATAATGATAATGATTAGCTGTAATTATGATTGGGATGATAGAAGTGGTGGTGATAATTACCTTAAAGATGATATGTTTGTGTGATAGTGAAGGTTATGATAGCGGAAAATTGCTGGGAGTTAACTAAATCGAATTGTGACAGTATTAATTATACGAAATGAAAAGTTGTGATTTACTAGAATGTGATGAAAAATAACATGTCATATTATAACAAGAACTGGTTGTTGCGATTTGCAAATACTCCATTTCTTTGTTTCGTTATTCCCGTTCAAAGGATCATTTCACGCCATGCGCCATTATAGTGTAGTTACCCTGTTCAATGTTCCGTTTTCTGTAAATTCCGTTTTCTGTCGTGTTGTTTTCGAAGGTAAACATTCCTATCGGGTTTTTGTCATCATCGTCACTCTTAAAAATACCAGTAGTAGTATTGTTTTGATGATGTGGATTGACAGTGAGGATAAGGATAATGATTATGATGGTACTATTAATTATGATTTTAAAAACATGATAATGACGGTGGTGATGGTACCGCTAATGGCATTTTTGAGAGCTTTTTTTTATCTACTGGTAATGATGAAATATTTATTTTTATTATATTACGCCAAAAAAAAACACTGCCCTATGTAGAGGTCAAGAGAAAAATACATTTTCCTCTGTCACTGCAAAGGGATTGCAGGAAAGGACCTAGTTGCGAGATTAGAATTTATTGCAGAAAATGAAAAATAGATGAAATGCTAGAAATAGAATTAATTCTTGTGGTCAATCAATATTATTTAGTAGTATCAGCTTTATTTTTGAAGTGTTGCAATATACGTGTACATACTTATACTTTGATACATACTAACTACATACTTGCAAGTGTAGGTACGTATAGTTCCGAAATTATATGTCAGTACACTTGTTGGGTCCCACTTTTGTGCATCTGGCAACCACTTCGAAGTAAACTTCGCGTAGTTTTTTTTTTATGAAAGAAAATCCTAGGTTGTTTGTAACAAAGTAAATATAAATAACTGTTTTGATATCTATTTTTGGAAACTATGTAACGTATTTGATCTTTCGCTTTCTGCAAATATGTTGAAAAATGGAATAATAGTTATCATTAGAATAATTTTCAAATGGGATTTCCTGGAGTTGTTTGTTTATCGAAATGTCGAGGTGAGGTGACATTTCCTTCTTTCAGCACAAATATTATGAATTATAGCTGCATATTTCTTCAAGCGAAAACGGTCCACGCGGAGCTCTTTGTATCTGCGCCATCTAGTAGGGGCTAATCGAACTAATGAAGTGAATGATTTCTTTTCGCCAGGACCAAACACTGATTCAGTGAATAGAATACGTGCTATGTTATATTCTTCATTATGGAAAAATTAACGGAACGCAAGACCGCAGTGAAGCTTTAGTGAATATATAGAGGCTTTATTATTGAAGAAGGAAAATAGAAATTGCATTTGTGGCAGAAAAAAAGTAGAGAGCGAGATAAATTGTCAATTTCATTAGAATGAACAAGATTTTTCTTTTCTTATTTAATATTTGAGGTATACAACACAACTATTGGGAGCAGGGTCCTAGAGTTTTGATATTCACCTTCCGTGGAATCACCCAGCTAGTAGTTGCTTGAGTTGAAACAAGCAAATATGTATTTTCTAGCTCAGCTGTTCGCATATGGATGCAGCTACCTCATCACAGGAACGCCAAGACTTACGGAATGATAATGGTGAAAACTATGATCAGATTTTAGCGCAAGATAAAGGGCATTCATTATAACCGAAACGAATTATACATACTGTTTCGTAACTTATCACCAAGATTTGGCTTTGTAAGCATCATACGCACGCGCACACACACGTACACACTCAGACTCAAACTCACACTCACTCACTCTTACGCTTCCAGTCCAACGCCTAACTTTTGTCTGTGTTGCAGGAGCGCGTGTCGCCGCGGGCGAGTGATGGGGGCAAGCGAGGCCGGGGGCAGGGTGAGCCCTCCCCAGGGTGTGCCCTGAGCGCCCCCGCCGCCCACGCCCGCCCCGCCCTCGCCGCCGCCGCCATGGCTACAGATTGCGGCGTTCCTGGGCGGCGCTTTCTCTGTCGCGAGTGGGCGTGGGCTAAGTTATGGGCGTGCCTGGAGCAGCGGCCTGCGGCCAAGACCTGCGGGGCCTTGCTCGTGGGCGGCCCCGGCACCGGCAAGACCGCGCTCTGCACGGAGCTGGTCACGCCCACCGCCTCGCACGGACGCCACGCCAGTGCGCTGCAGGCGCGGCTGCTGGCGCACCACTTCTGCCACGCCCACAACGCCGCCTCGCTGAGCGTGGGCTGCTTCGTGCAGTCCCTGGTGGAGCAGCTGGCGGAGTCGCCGCTGCTGGCGGGCTACGACGCCAAGGTGCAGGCCGCGGACGTGCGCAGCGCCCTCGAGCCGTGCGCGCTGCACGCCAACCCCGACGAGGCGCTCAAGCGCGCCGTTCTGTTCCCGCTGCTGGAGCTGGACCCGCCGGACCGCACGCTGCTGCTGGTGGTGGACAGCATCGATGAGACGGACCTGCAGCCGCCGTCGACCGCCGCGCCGCGCGACGCCAACCTGGCCGACGCCAACAACAGCGGGCCGTCGCGCAGCATCGCCGAGCTGCTGGCGACGCACCACCACCTGCTGCCGCAGTGGCTGCTGCTGGTGGTGACCGCGCGCCGCACCTCGCGCTCCGTCATCCGCCAGTTCGCGGGCTTCAGGAAGGTGGCGCTGGACGACCTGCGGCGCGGCCACGTGGTGCGCGACGTGCAGCAGTACATCCTGTGCCGCCTGGACCGCGAGCCGGCGCTGCGGCACCACCTGTCGCGCGAGACGGCGGAGATGCTCAACCAGCTGCACATCAAGAGCAACGGCTGCTTCCTGTACCTGGAGCGCGTGCTGGACGGCGTGGCGGAGGGCTGGGTCACGCTCAGGGAGATCCGCCACATCCCCGGCACGCTCAACGGCCTGTACCTGTGGCTGTGCCAGCGCCTGTACCCGCGGCGCCACTTCCAGCGCGTCATGCCCCTGCTGGCGGCGATCCTGGCCGCGCGCGCGCCGCTCTCGCCCGAGGAGCTGCGCCGCGCCGTGGAGACGCGCCTGCCGGACCTCGCCGACGAGGACTGGGCCAAGCGCTGGTCGCTGCTGCGCCGCGTGCTGGCGCCCGACCACGAGCTGCGCGTGCTGCTGTTCCACCACAGCTTCGCCGAGTGGCTGCTGGACGTGAAGCACTGCACGCAGAAGTACCTGGTGGACGTGGCGGACGGCCACGCCATGCTGGCCATGTGCCTCTCCGTGGAGGCGCCCAGCCTCGACGTGACGCAGGTGCACCAGCTGGCGCTCCACCTGTCGCGCATCCACGTGAAGCCGCCCCTCGAGCACTTCCACCTGCCGCTGTGGATGGTGTCGTGCGGCGCGCCCCTGGAGCAGTGCCGCGACCTGCCGCCCCCGCGCGACCCGAGGGCGCTGAGGATCCTGCAGGAGGCGGGCGCTTCCCTCCCGGACGACCAGCCCAACGAGGACGACGAAGACGACGACGACGACGAGGACGAGGAGGATGACGAGGTGGACGAAGCCGGCGACGAGGAAGGGCCGCCCACGGAGGTGAGGTACGAGGAGCTGGAGCAGGAGGAGGAGGAAGAGGAGGAGGGGGAGGTGGAGGCCGAGGTGGAGGTGGCGGCCCACGAGAATCAGGACGAAGGCGAGGCGGAGAGGGACTCGCAGGAGCAGGAAGGGAAAGCGAAGGAGGAGGAGGAGGAGGAGCAGCAGGAAGAGGTGCGGCAGGACACCCTCGAGGAGCTGGCGTGCGAGGTGGACCTTCTGCAGATGAAGGAGCAGTCGATGGAGGAGGAGGAGAAGGAGAAGGACCAAGTCGAGGAGGAGCGGCTGCGGCAGCTGGAGGCCGAGAATCGGGACTACGAGGAGGAGAAGGATGAAGAGTACGTGACGATGGTGCCGCTGCCGGGGCACTTCGTGGGCGAGGGCACCACGGGCGGCCGCAGCACGGAGGGCGTCAGCACGGGCCGCCACAGCACGAACAGCCGCATCAGCACGGGCGGCCGCCAGAGCACGGGAGGCCGTCAGAGCACGGCGGGGCGCAGAGCACAGGGGACGCCAGAGCACGGGCGGGCGACACAGCAGCACGAGCGGGGCGGCACAGCAGCGACCACAGCAGCAGTAGCAGTCGCGGCGGCGCGAGCGTCGTCGCCGGCGGCACCGCGAGGACCCCCTCTACCCGTACCTCCGCGGCGGCCCGGTGGACCAGGTGGACAGCGGCGGCCGCTCCCTCCTGCACAGCGCGGCGCACCAGGGCGACGCCTCCCTGGTGCGCCTCCTGCTGGAGCGCGGGGCGTGTCTGGGCCTGCAGGACAGGGCGGGCCAGACGCCGCTCAACCTGGCGGCGCGACATGGCCACGCGGAGGTGGTGGCCACTCTGCTGGGCGCGGGCGCCGACCCCGACCACGCGGACGCCGACGGCTGGACCGCGCTGCGCTCGGCGGCGTGGGGCGGCCACACGGGCGTGGTCACGGCGCTCCTGGCCGGCGGTACGCAGGTGGACTTGGCCGACGGCGACGGGCGGACGGCGCTGCGGGCAGCCGCGTGGGGCGGCCACGAGGACGTTGTCGCCGCGCTGCTGCGGCACGGAGCGGCGGTGAACCGCGCCGACAGCGAGGGCCGCACGCCGCTCATCGCCGCCGCCTACATGGGCCACTCGGAGATCGTGGAGATGCTGCTGGACGCGGGCGCCGACGTCAACCACCAGGACGTGGACGGCAGGACGGCGCTGAGCGTGGCGGCGCTCTGCGTGCCGGCCAGCGAGGGCCACGGCAGCGTCGTCATGACTCTGCTGGAGCGCGACGCCGTCGTCGACCACCAGGACCACGACGGCCTCACGCCGCTGCTCGTCGCCGCCTTCGAGGGACACACGTGAGTATTGGCGACCGCTCATAAGGGGGGGAGGGGGAGGGGGCCGGGGAATAAATCCGAAATCTCTCGTATGGATCGCTATAATGGTCCCCTTAATTTTGTTGGTCGTTTGTGATGATGCAATCTGTGATATATATGATACAATATTTTTAGTAACGGTGTAGGGCATTTTAATACGGTTTCTGTCAGTGTCTCGGGTACATTGAGTTTGCCTGTTTGATCTAATGCCCTTAATCCGATCCCTTTAGAGTCTCAGAATCTGACTTTTTAACGGCCTTCCGCAGGGAGGTGTGCGAGCTCCTGCTGGAGTACGAGGCGGATGTAGACCACGTGGATCGGTCGGGCAGGACGCCCCTCCTGGCGGCGGCGTCGATGGGGCACGCGGCGGTGGTGGAGCGCCTGCTGTTCTGGGGCTGCTACGTGGACCACATCGACGCCGAGGGCAGGACGGTGCTGAGCGTGGCGGCCGCGCAGGGCTCGCAGGTAAGGGCGCCGAGCCGCGGGAGACGCCCCTGGCCCGGGCGGCGCGGGCTCTGCCTGCTGTTCTTGGCGCCAGGGGTACGGGTGGACAGGAGGTGATAGTTGGTCTCATTTCTGCATGCAAATTCAGTTTATTGAAGCATTTCTTTTACTCCTTCGTTTGTCCCATGTTACAGGAGACCGTGCGGCTCCTGCTCGACCGCGGGCTCGACGAGACGCACCGCGACAACGCCGGGTGGACGCCGCTGCACTACGCCGCCTTCGAGGGCCACTGCGAGGTGTGCGAGGCGCTGGTGGAGGCGGGCGCGCGCGTCAACGAGGTCGACAACGACGGCAAGCACGCGCTGGTGCTGGCCGCGCAGGAGGGCCACGCCGCCGTGGTGGCGTCGCTGCTGGACGCGGGCGCCAACATCCACCACACGAGCCACGACGGGCGGTCGGCGCTGCGCGTGGCGGCGCTCGAGGGCCACAAGGACGTGGTGCACCTCCTGCTGTGTCGGGAGGCGGACCTGCACTACAAGGACGCGGACGGGCGGTCGACGCTGTACCTGCTGGCCCTGGAGAACCGGCTGGACATGGCGCGCTTCCTGATGGAGAGCAACGCCGACGTGGAGAGCACGGACCTGGAGGGCCGCACGCCCCTGCACGTGACCGCCTGGCAGGGCCACGCCGACATGGTCGCTCTCCTCCTGCAGGGGGGCGCGCGCGTGGACGCGGTCGACAAGGAGAACCGGACGCCGCTGCAGAGCGCGGCCTGGCAGGGCCACGCGGAGGTGGTGCGCCTGCTGCTCGAGCACGGCGCCAACGTGGACCACACCTGCTCGCAGGGCGCCACGGCGCTCAGCATCGCGGCGCAGGAGGGCCACGAGGCCAGCGTGGCCGTGCTGCTGCAGTACGGCGCCAACCCCGCGCACTCGGACCGCTGCGGGCGCACGGCCATCAAGGTGGCGCTGAAGGGCGGCCACATCCACGTGGCGCGCATGCTGGAGGAGAGCCTGATCCAGCAGCAGCAGGCGGGCGGCGTGGGGCGGGGCCTGGCGGCGCCCTCGTCCGTCGGCTCGGGCTCCACGGCCGAGACCAAGCCCTGCTCGGCGCTGCTGTGCCCGGGCCTGACGGCGTCGCCGGCGGAGTCGCCCGAGTCCACCTTCGAGAAGCGCCGCTCCGTGGCGTCCCTCGGCCAGCACTCGTCCTCCAAGTCCTCCGGAAACCTCACCACTTCCACACATTCCTCGGGCGGCCCGCGCGCCCCCACGCCGCGCGAGGCGCACCTGCAGCAGCACCAGCAGCCTCTGGCGCCGCCCGCTCCGTCGGCGCCCCCCGCGTCGGCCATGTCGCCTGTTCTCAGCTTCACGCAGCAGCTGCAGCAGTGCGGGCGCGGGCGCGGGCGGCGCCACCCGCCCCCGCCGCAGCCCGCCCTCACCCCGCTCGACGAACCCGCGTCGCCGCTCTACGCGTCTCCGCCGCTGTCGCCGCTGAGCGACGGTCCGGGCGGAGGGCGACACTTGCCGGCGGGCGCCATCCTGGAGGACGACTACACCGTGCCCCTTCAGCACTCCGCGGTCAGGCCGCCGCGCCCCTCCGCGCCCCCGTCAGCATCACGCCAGAGGTAAGCAGCTGCGGCTTTGCGCGGCAGACCTTCGGGCTCCGCGACGCCCTAGGGGAGAGGGGGTAAGGTCCCAGGTTTTCTTAGTTGGGAAACGTGTGTCAGAGGGATTCTCTCTTCTGTTAGTAAGCCTCTGCACATTGCGAGCCTTCCCCGGCTGTCGAGCGCAGCTGGATCTGCCAGCTGTGGTTTGCCTCGGCGGAAGTTTCCCTTCCTTAGCAGCTTGCATGAACGCTCAGAGATTAGGCTGTGGTTGATATAAGCGCTGCGGTGTGGTTTTCATGGCTGCACTAACTGCCGTAGGATTGACTTTGATGAGAACTTATTAAACATATGCAAACAGGTGTCCTTCCAGGTAAGACTGAGTAATCCGGCGCCCTTGTGACGCACTTCATGTCCTTCATTATTTTGCAAGATCGGTCGTCGAGGCGGCGGCGTCCTCAGCGGCGGTGGAGGCGGAGGCGGCGTCGTGCCCGGGCTGGGCGGCATCCCCGGCATGGGCGTGAGCGTGCCGGGCGTGGGCGGCGCAGGCTCGCCCGGCTCCTCCGGCTTCACCTTCACTCAGGACCAGCACATGCGCATCATCCTGGGCACACGATCCCCCGAGCCGCGCCCGCGCCGCAATGGCATCGTCACCAACCCCAGCCTTAAGGCCGCCCATGCGAAGGCCGCCCACCTCCTCAGGAACGGCCTCAGTGGTCGCCCTCGACAGCCACCAGCGAGGCCCAACGGCCTGCCGCTCAAGAAGGAAACGCCGCTATGACCGTAAGTTGAGGCTTCTTGCCGGGTCGACGTCGGCCCAGGGCTTGCAGCCGGTCACACACGGCTGTGGAGTCGACGGTTCCCTCACGCACGCACTTGCACGCAGTACACCCTCACTCGTTCATCCCCATAGCCATTCACGTGCCATCACTCATCCATTCAGTCACTCGTTCAGCCTTGTAATCACTCACCGATTCATTCATTCGTTCATTCTCACTTATTCAATCAACCGATGATTTACCTTCTGTCAATCATACACTAACACATCCTTAACTATTAATGAATTCAGTAATCAATCACTTATGGTGCCCATCATCTTTTACTCACTAAATTCAGTCATGCACTCTTTCTGTCACACTCACTCGATTACTCACTTGTCCACACAGCCACTCATTGCCAGACTCACCCATATGCGTGCTTCACAGTTACAACTTAATTTTCCCTTATAGACAGATCAGCACAAATAAGCAAGATTAAAAGTGCAATTGACAAAATGGTAAATTATTGAAATATATATCCAATGATTAAGGATTTGTAGGACAATTTTGAACTTCAGCTGTCTTAGTTATCTCGATACTTGCAAATTAACTATAGTATAATTTTAGTTTGTTATATGGTTTTGAATTTTGGTAATTTTAGTGCTCTTGCAGTTTGACAGGTGTGGTAGTAACTCATGTGAAATGCTAAAGAGCTGAATAGAAATGCTGAAGAGCTGTTGTGGTTTATGCGTGGTTTATGCATGCATGTATTTACTGAAGCTTTTTGGCTAATTTAGCCCTGGGAGAGGAGAATTATGGAAATTGAACACATTGTAACAGTTGATTTTACTTTTTACTTAAATAGATTATAAACCATGAAAATGGAATTATGAATAAAGGCCAATAATTTCTGCTGAAATATTATTCATAGACTGTAAATGGTCTTTATACTCCTATCAGCCTAGGAAAAAAAAAAATGCCATAAAGGGCAAGACTAGCACTACACCTATTGAATTTATATACATTTTCTTTGATATCATGAAATATCATCATCTCACATACTTGCAGAAAGACGAGGATGGAATGCAGTGATTCCCGGCCACAGCACCAAGGATTCCAATGAAGATGCACCACTGTTACTACCGACTACTGAAGAAATAAAACATTGTCCACCTGAAGAGCAGTAAAACATCACGGATAAGCTTTGATGCCTCAGGATAGCGACTAGAAAAAGAACAGAAGAATAGTGTTCTTACTTCTGACAAGCCTCTTGCAACAGATACATACAAATAAGGTATGGAAAGCAGTTTATTTTATATTGTTATTATTTTTAGATTTGTTGATATATATATGAATCACTTTCTTCTAGTGTTTAAAGAGAGATTTGGGAAAATATTTAGTTAATTTAGCAGACATTGAGTTTCAACTAATTGCAGTTTAGTACCTCTAAGTTATAATAATACATTAATGAGCAGTGAAATTATCTGAACCTTTTTTTTCTATCCAGGTTGTTTCTGGTGTGGGTCAAAGAAAGCTTTAGGAAAAGTGAATGAAATTAAAATGCAGGCTTTCTTACCAAGACTTGTAGGACATGAAAGAATGCAGACACGTCAGTTCTCTGTTGATGGTAATAACTTCTATCATAGTAGTGGATAACTAGTTACAGAACAAACAAAGACTATGATAAGAATGAGTGCAACAAAGCAGTGATATCGTAACAGTGGTGGCATCTTTAGTGTCATAACGAGATTCAGAAGCACTCGCATGAAGTTCAGGTTAATGAACCATGGAAAGTGCTTGTGTTTGCAAGGGTAACCACACCCATGTGATTGGAAGTTTATTTATTATACAATTTTTCTTTTTCAACTTGAAAATAATACATTGTCTTCTGTTTTATTAATGAGTGAAGGTGAATATTGGTCATTAAAAAAAGGTGAAGAAAAAAAAAAAGGCAGAGGAAGTTGACTGGTAACATTTGCAAACACAACTTTGGATCTCTGTGTCACATTTACCGTCCTGGTGCCAAGATAGTGACAATGCTCAGTACAGCGTTTTATCCGCTTGTCTGAGACCCCACACCAAAGTTTGTGCAAGGTTGGCTTGTATGTCAGTTTGAAATCAAGATAAATTTCCCCATCACTGTAATTATGTTCAACTGGATGCGAATTTTGGATTCCTCAGTTCTCAAAGCTAAGACAAAGTAGGACAAAGGATGCACAGATTAGAAAGATAACAGTATGAGTGAAATGATAGTACTTTTTCTTTTAATTTTATTCTACCATCCTTCTTAACGATGCACAGATTGCATGAAAAGTGATAAGTCTTAATCAAGATCTCAAAGTGGTATACAAGCACATCCAAGTGTGTATTGTTGCCTGTTGTATCCTAACTGTATATAGCGGAACCTATCCTAGTCGTGTAGTTCGCTGTGCTGTACCCCATAATGTGCATTTGTAAAAAGTATTCTCCAGCACATGTACAGTTAGCAACATAACCTTTCATGAACATATTACAGTGTGCGATGTAATAATGTACAGCTCTATAACTACGATAATATAAGAATTTGGTTAGTGTAATATGATATTAAAAGGAGAACCATGTCGCTGTGGGGTAAAAAAAAAATTTGTTTCAGCCATTTTCATTTTCCTTATACACAATAAAGGAAAAAAGAAATCTGTTTTGTTAAGTAACATCAATTTGTATGATTTTACTAAAGTTGTTTACCAAGAAAAAGTAATGCAATGGCAAATTTAAGAAATATACGTTGTTGTTTTTTTTTCTACTGTAAAGATATATATATATATCAATGTGCACAAATATTTGGTACATACTAATTGCTGTGAAAGAATTTCTACTGAATGGAAAAAGAAAATGTATATTTAATGATTTTTTGTGGTCTTTCACTAATAGTTGACATGTATAGGTAAAATAACACTACTGATATTGTAAGATATCAGCTTTTGGATTAAGTTATTATTTATTTGGAAGAGTAGAAACTAAAGGTACATTTTGTAATAATTAAATTACTTAGGGCAAGATCTAAGTATGTTTAATTGCAACTGTAGTGTTCACTATCATTTTGCTTAAATTGTATAAATAATGAGTGAGAAGCCATCTTCTTTATCATTTGATACATATCTCATTTGGTATTGTATATCTTAGCTCTTACTTGTGAAGCAGTAATGGAAAAAAACGGACTCACATTAGGAAGTTTACTGATGTTGTGTTAATCACCTTTTTTCTATTATGTGCTATTTATGCTTAGAATAAATTTTGTATGTGTGGGAGAAAAATAGTTTATTTATTCATTATTTCACTACGTATAACAAGCTAGCAATATATTTATATGGTTAGTCTGTAGTGGGAAAAAAGTGCTCAGAGAAAAAAGGAAAACAGTTATATCAATTTACTTCAGTGTCACAAAACATTCATGGCAGTTGTGGTCATGGAAATGCAAGATTCTAAAAAGAAAAAGGTGGATACTTCTTTAGATCAGCTCGCTACTTTACAAAACTTTGTAATACAGCTAATTAATTGTGCTCAGAATTAGAGTTGTAATAGGTTAATTTTCAGGTATATTTTGAAATGACAAAGAGCATATAATCATTCTACGTATGAGCTCATTTGTTTATGGTAGCTTCTTAGACGTTAACATTGCTTTTTCAGTACCTGCAAGCTCTGAAAATAATGGTTTGTTTAGTTACACTACCATAAGCTTCATTTGGAAACCAGTTAAAAAGTGATATGGTAAACTATTTTCACTAGTCACTTCTGACGTTTGACTATTTGGTCAGACTGAAGAAGAAGGCCTTGTTGATATTGTGTAATGATGTAATGGGAGTCGTTTCCATTATGTAGTAGGGTATTGGATGGTGTATTCCCTGCAGTTTCTGATTCCTTATTTACCTTCTGATAAGCATCTGATAAGCAAGCTTTAGTTCAGATTGAGAAGCAGAATTTTTTTCCTAATTTAATGTTAATTACACAATGCAAGTAAATTTATATTCATATCTGAATATGCATTTTGTAGTCTGTACGTATGAGTGTCTTCATCTGTAGACTTGTTCTACAGAATTACCCTGTATTTATTTTGTACAGTATTTTGTAATATGTAAAGCTTATTTCCTTACATGTTACATGTTGTAGCAGCAGTAGCTTAGCTTCAAAAGTTCAGGCCAGCTTTAATATCTTTTTGTTGTATTTTATTGTAAGGACTTATCATGTCCAAAGTGAACATTCATTTCTGATGTTCTACTATGGTGACAATGCCAGAACCACACTGCCAAGACTGCAGTGGGTTCTGCTCTCTTGGTACTGTATTATTGATGATACAGTACAATATAATACAAGCAAGTGAAGAGTAAACTTACCCCCCTCTTTTTTTTTAGCAGGTTTGTCTCAATAAACATTGCTGGGGCATGTGGACTATAAAACGCTCAAGCTTTGTATCTAAACACATTTTTGAGTTGGTGCTTCAGTACAGAAAAAAAACTTAATTGTTATTCAATTCTTGTTGTATCAAGTAGGTCAGTTGTAATGGCCTAACATACTGGCATTGTAGTCAGTATTATATACACACAAAAACAAAATAAAACAGGATAATTGACTGTGCATCATGTATTATGATGTTATGTTTGCATAACCAATGTTCCATGTAGAATGAAGCAAAGTATTTTACAAAGAAGTGAATGAATCAGTCAAGACAAAATTACCGTAAGTCAGTGTTCCCACTAATATCTGTATAAGTCAGGATTACCAACATATTTTGTCAGAAAAGCATTCTACAGATTGATGCCAACAGAAGCTCTTGCAATTTTCCATTCAGGTGAAACTTTCAGAATTAGGGATTTCTTACAAAATCTATATAGACATTAATATCATTTTATTTTTTTTTTTTTA